TATATATATATAATAGAGAGAGAGAGAGATATATATTTCCGATATTTTGTATCAAATTACTAATTTAAATGGCTCTGAAACTATTTTTTATTTGTTTCAGAACATTGATTACTTTAAGGAACTTAAGCAACGAGTTTTGTATTTTGACTTAATGGTTGATAAATTAATAATAAAGGTACGTTTACATAATTTTATATGTTACTCTGTTAAAACATAATGCAATTTTAATCTACTGACGTGGTTTCAGGATGTACAGTTGACTGCTTCAAACGATGATCAATACTTTGTTTTTGAAGACGTATTGTACCAGGTTGGTGATACTCTCCTTTAACTTTTTAAGTGCTAATACCTAATTCTATTTAGAATATACTGCATGCACCACTGAATAATTTATATTTGTACACCAAAAGAGAAAAAAATGTTTTATTACTATTCTTATGAGTGTTTATGATGGCGACTTCATCTATAATTTAATGAATTCAGATAATCACGCTTTTCTATCGTGAAAACTAGTGAATTTTGGAATTTACGTATTCTAAAATTAAAGTCAAGTCATTATTCCTCAAATATTGAATATTGTATTAATCACATCATTGTTTCAGAGCCCAATAAGGCAATAATGTATAGTCAGATCGCGATTCCTAGAATATCCAGACACGATTTGTTCAACTTCGTCCTTCAATGAACTGTCCTACTGACAAGACAAACATTATTCGTTTCGGGACTACACATCTTTCAAAGCAACTAATTTGTTCTGACAGTGTACGCCGTAGCAATAAGTGTGCAAACGAACATCTATTAATAAAGAAGATAATGCGTTATGCAATATCATGTCATTAAATAATTTCATCACACACGAGCTGTGCTCAAAACCTCTAGAGTTACGCGTCCACCAGCACCATGGTTGAATGAATCAATATATTCTAATATGCGATGAAGTAAAATGGAATGCTAAAACGCAATATTTTGCAATAAAATTCAGTACATTGTTTAAAGCGAAAACTGTTTCTAAGCAAATGTTCAGCAGTTTCAGAAATTTCGGTATTAGCAAAGATAGTTCTAAAGTCTCAGTCATAGATGAACCCATAGAAAAATACATTTTTAAGTGCAGCTGGTTCATTCGACTCGGTAATTCTTTGAATCCTTCAAAATAGTAATTTGTTCGATAAACCATAGTTTGATAAACTAGATACAGAATGTGTCATCCCAGATAAAAAGTATCTTACCCCACTGCCCTCAAGTAAAAATAATTTGGATACTAGTTTTTATATTCACAAAATAATAATCTTCGGATGTTGACAAATTAGTAGCCTTCGCTATTAAAACAACGCATGTAAAGAAATCCCTTATCTTTCCGTTCTTTAATTATTTCAACGTTGTGCATAATGGTTTTATCTCAACACTTTCTGCAAGATTCCAAAGGAGCTCATTTTGAGTGAAATCATATCTTGCTGCTTAGACAGGTGTGAGTGAATAATTTATCTACCGTAATTCCTTATTATGATGTGTAGTATAGTTGCCATATTTGCATTGGTCACATTGAAGAATTAAAAATGATAAAGTGTAATTTTTGTAGTCATAAAAATATATATTTTCACTTCGAATTCTATTTGGCATGAGTATCTGAATTCAATTTTGCTTCTGTTCTTGTCAATAAAGAGACGCTCCTTCGACTATTTGAAAAATGTGTTTAGCCTTTACTTGCGTTTACGGTATAATACTGCTTTTTACGTTTTGCAGAAAACACTAATATTGTGTCTTTTCAAGGTCATGCTGTGTTTTTCAAGAGATACAGAATTACTGACAGTGTTTAATCACAGTGCTGCAAATCCAGTGCATGCTGTTCTAAAGAACAAACTACCTGCAGTGGAAAACACAGTAGTATTTCCACCCAGTGGAGTGATTCCTTTTCATGGCTTTACTATGTACTGTGAGTATAGTTTGACTTCAGACAGCAAAATATTCGATATCACTTACTTTGGTCACTAATTAGTAACAAAGAAAACACTATTCATCCTGTTTGTGGGTTAACACTCTGAAATTATTTATGGATAACTTCCAATATTCATATAACTTTGAAATTAATATAATGCTTCACACATCTTGCGTTCATCAGAGGCTTCACACATCTTGCGTTCATCCTTTAAAGAATATTTATTGTATATTAAGTACAGTATGTCTATAATACTCTTTTAATTTACAATCTACCTTTCACTAATATCTTTTGGTAAAGTCCTTTTGTAAACTCTAAATTGTGGCACCGGCTGAGTTGGCTGAGGGCATTTACTGATGTCTCTGCAGTACCTCTGACGGAGAGGGCGTAGAGTTCGATTCCCGACGGTGGCAGGATTTTCGACATCGAATTCAGCCGCTCTCCGGAGAATACTAGCGGCCGGCTGCTATGATCGGTAGATTTCAGATCGATACCTGGCGAATGTCTAAGCAGTATTCTACCAAACTGGCTACGGGTGGTGCAATCTTTCCTTCCCCTTCCTTGTCCTATACTCGCCCTTTACTTACATAGACTTGCACATACGTGCACTACACTACCACACATGTCGGGAGGCCAGTCGGGAACTTAGAGCTTGTTCCGACTGGGGCGCTGCCTCGCTGGTGGAAGATACCTGGATAAGGAAAAACCCTGCAAGCCGACGTGTAGGGCAAGAACACCGCCAGCTCACGTATAAAACCATGCACTACACGTATGTGACACATAACCACAGCAGTTGACGCGCCCGAAACCTGAAATAATCAAACTTGTGGCTGTCGTTACTGCAGCCCCCTAAAATGTACCGATGATGTCAGATCGTCTGTCTGCTCTCATGTAGCTTCACCGTTCTTTGATCAAATAATTATGGTCGAGAAAGATAATTCAGAAGTATCATATCAATTTAAGAATCCATAAAATGGAAAATTGCATCTTTCACGATAATACATTTCAAATATGTTTAAAGTTGAAAGAGAAATGTTGTTAATATGTCTGCTTAATTTCAGCCACGCCTTTCTGCTACCTATATGATGATCCTATTGCCTTGTACTACACTTTCCGTGCATTTTACATGCGCTACTGGTTCCGTCTTCATGAAGTTTCTTCACATGAGCAGGGTATACTCTGCCTGTGCTTACTGTTTGAGAAACTTCTTCAGCGCCATGAGCCCCAGCTTTGGTATCACTTTAAACAAATAAAAATACCCCCGTGAGTGTTTTAGTTAAAATATGTGTACACTTTTTGTTGAGTTATTTGATTATCGAGGGAATGTGGTAAGCAATTAACCAATTTTCCTTCATAGTGTACGAGTGGTATTTAAATGGCTGATGCGTAGTTTCAGTGGCCATTTACCTCCAGAGCAATTACTATTTTTATGGGATCTTATATTAGCATATGATTCTCTGGAAATATTACCTTTGTTAGCTGTTTCTATTATAAGTTTTCGTAAGGACAATTTGTTACAAGTTGATACATTGCAGAGCGTTGAGGTACTATTTCCATAATAATTTCACATAGTATTCTATAATAGAATAATTTTCCTGATTCATTGAAATTTCTGATCTTGTTACAGGCTGTTCTCGCTGATTTATCTTCAATCACAGTTATGCCACTGTTGCAAATGACTCTAATGAGAGACTAAATATTTTCAACAGTACAAAATCAATAAATATGATGAAAGTTATTATAGTTATTTATATGAGATTTATACTATTAGGGAATGACTTTTGCTGTATATGTGTCCATTCATATTTTGTCTCATATCTGCAAGCGAATAAAATTGGATTTATACATTTACTGCTGTATTTACTACTTTACATTATAAAAAAATATTCCTATGGAAATGTGTCGTTCTTGTTAACTCGTTCCCCAATCATAACAAAATCTTCTAATTCGTTGATCATGTTGACTGACAAGGAAATTTTCTGATATTTGTGCATGTGAAAATGTATTTTCGTGTGTATTTTATCGGGGAAGTTACTGTTAAAGCTAAGAATTTAAAGTCTTATTCCAAATTTAATTTGAGATTTCTCATAAATAAAACATTTTTTTTAAGTGCTCGCCCGGTTGTCGAGAGTGCAGGCTCTGGCCTTGAGTTTTTCTCAGCTGGAATGGTGTTCCGCTGGTATAAATATCTGGAGGTGGGAAATCCCCCAAGCCAAGGTGTAGGTCGGCGTCGGATCTTACGTTCTTGCAGGGGAGGAACACCTCCACCTCCCGGAACGTAATATGCTCTCCACGTACGGGACTAGTGGACAAAGCAGTTGACGCGCACGAAAACACAAAATAATCAATCGAGGAATCAGTCAAGGAATATCGAATTAGTCATAGGTGATTTGTACATTATAAACTAATGGTACTACAACAGCATATACTTTCTTACATTTCTAAATTTGCAATTTTTGAAAATTTAGATATTCAATTCAACAAAAAGTATATCTGTACCATTCCCATAAGCGTCTTATAAGCTATTCGAGAACAAAGTTTAATAAAAATTTGGGAACCATTATTAAGAAATTTTTGAAAATATTGATGCTTCATATAAAGTATCTCCAAAAAACAAAATATTCGTTTGAAACTCAGAGGGCCACAAATTCATTTAAATGTATCGGGGAATGTCAATATCGGAGAAAATCTTCTGAACGGTTTAAGCGCTAGTGTTGACCACGGACGAACGGGCGGACTTACAAGTTTTACCGTCAATCGATTTTTCGGCATCAAGGCCCCACCAAACATGGATTATGAGTGCAAGTTATTAGAGAAAGTGACAGGAACAAGATTTATCCACTTTTTCGTTACGAGTGCCCGGGAATAAAAGTTTTTCTTTCGGAAATTTGTCTTTTTCCGGCGCACGTTTACAATATCTCATCTTTTTACATAGTAAGGGCGAGAAAGTAATAATCGGTTCATCTGTAATGATGGAGGACAAGAAATTTGGTTAAACTGCTGTCTGTTTACACAGTAAATGTTTGAGAAGCCACTCGTGGTGCACGTGACGGCGATCGCGTTGACAGCAGCAGCAATGGAGGCGGTGACGGGGTCCACTACGAGCTGCAGAACAGAAGAAAAGAATCACCAGCATAATTTCATCGTTAATCCATACAATAATAAGTAGTACTCAAAACGACATCTTTTCATTAAAAGAAGTTAAAGAACTAGTTGGAATGTCAACGGTCTAAATATAAAAAAGAGAACTGACATACAATATTTCTTAAAAGAAAAACAAATACTCGTAGATATGGGATGAACATCAAACACACATATAAAGAAAAACATCTTTTACATGTACTAGATAATGATTGGAAATTTAACCACTGTAATTGACGAAAAGATGACGGCCGAAATGAGGAAAATCAAAACTACATTCAATATTACATCTAATGTTTATATAATTAATGGTAATTTATGTATTTGTCCAATTCATTACATTCTGATTAAAAATTCTATCTCGCGTTCATACTCAAGTCACTTTTTCCCGGCAACATTAAGATCCCAATGGCATATCCTCATTTCGGTTAAATGGAATGTGGTCTATTCACATAAATAGTTACAAAACGTAGTGAAAGAATCGTTCTAATGATTGATACAACTAGCTTAATTAAAATCCTTTATTTTCTAGGTGAAAATTGCGATAGAAAAAAATGACCACATAGTCGCGGTGTCCCTTACTACTTTCTTAGTTTTAATATTTTCAACTTACAAATTCGTTCACTTATATTTTGAGAATTTGCTGAATTCTAATATAAAAAAGGTTTCAGCTGTTGACAGCTATTATTATAATATTAAAGTTCATGGGTACTTTGCTCGGCTGGTGGCCACGTGGTGTTGAATAAATCATTGGAGCCTACTACGCGGCTTCCGGGATGGACTGCGCACGATTTCACCCGTGCTCCCCTCTTCACGGAAAATGCAATGTACAATAAATGCAAAAGGTGCTACAAATTGAACATTTGATTGGGAATCTTATTTGAACCTGTAAGGGAGGGGGTATCAAAACGAAACTGTGTTTTAAGAGCAGAGAGAATGGGAGTTCTGAAGGAACAGAAACTATGACATAAAAAACAACGAAAAGAAATCGGGAATAGATTTGCTGATAAAAAATTAAAGCATTTTTCTAGGTAGAGGCAGTATCCAACTGCTGGGGCTAACAACGCGATTTACAAGGTTTCAACTGATGATGCTTTTCCGAAGACGGTACTGTTTTTGTTGTGCGCAAATTGGTCATATTAGTATCACACTTCCCTGCAACTGTACCCACAGAAGCCCAGTTATATTTTCCCGGGGGTAAGTGCTTGTGACTTTTTTTTGGGGGGGGGGGAATTAGCATATATGCTGAATACATTTTTACACTCCAAGGTTGTTAGCCCTAAGGGATGACGTGATGATAATGATAATGAAGGATGAATGGACAATTACAAACATACAGACGCACACAAACATTCATTCCGATTCGAACAGGGATTCGAAGCTGTGACCCTTCAGGCAAGAGGCAGTTACGGCTCTTCAGCCTTAGAGAATAATCTATCCGGGCTGGCATTATTATTATTATTATTATTATTATTATTATTATTTACAATTATTAATAATTATTATTTCTTATCATTCATGTAAGTGGCGAGAAACTTAGTGGGTGTGATAAAATATAAATAATAATATGAAATATTTAATTATTAATTTTTGAACTAATTATCTAAATGATTTTTTTAATGTGTCCTGTGTTATGTCCCTTACATTAGCCATCTTCTCTCCCATACGTCACATATCCGCCATACAGTTTTTACTGTTTTTTTGACTAAATAAATTTAAATCTAAATCTAGAATTAATGCCTTTTTCGCCATCCAATTTTAGTAAAATTAAATGCTTTCTTGCCTGCCCATTTTAGGTGAAATAAATGCCTGAACATCCAAGCTTTACTTATCAGTATATGATGGGTCTAGATCGAGTTGTCCACTAAACGTCCCGTCTTCTGAGTGTTCTTTTTTACTTAATGCGTGTGTTTTAATTTACGTGTTGCACTTTACACAAGGTGTTTACATAGTAGTATGTATGCACAAATTTAACAATTTTTAAGAAATTACATTTTTAATGAATTATCTAATTATTTGCAGCCGGTCCGGTCCTAGTTAATCCGGATAATTGGAGTCTTACAGTTGTTAGAAAAATCGCGAATAATAATAATGTTATTATTAACATTTTTGTTACTACAATTAAAAGAAATTTCTCTATCTGCAGAGTCGCTTTCTCCATGTGCAGGTTCATTCGCGCAATCATAATGTTTAGAAATTCTACATAAAATCCTACGCATTTCAACTAAGTTGTGGATTTTAGGTTACAAAATATTTGCTTTTCCAATCGACTGGTTTAAATGTTTAACAGCCCATTTTATTTCCAGTAAACTTATTGAGAGAATTTTCGGTATTATTCTGTTTGCATTGCGTTTGAGGAATGATGTCCATGAACCATTCTGTTCTTCAAATCTCTAGTGTCAAGAAATACTTGCAGAAACCTATTTAATATTTTCCTTCAGATAATGGCGATTCACTCATATCGACTAAAGGCTCATCCCACAAGTGAAATAATTTAAAACTTAAATAATTTAACCCTTAACTCAAATTTCGGAATTTTTTCATTCCCTCTGCGCACAAATCCAAGTGACATAAGTCGACGAAAATAGATTCGACAGTCAAAAAATACTATAAAATTGAATTTCGTATTACATGCGAATGTCAATAAGAACCAAGAATTTCTGCAATAACAACGACGGTAATCACTTTTTGACTCTGAACGAAAGTGATATTTAATTAAAAAGTAGAGTTGTTATACATTAAATGAAGAGAATTATGATGTGGTACATATTAAATTTAAAAAAAAGGGTTTAAAATATTTATTTCCGAAAGATGAAATAGCTATTTGTGTAATATAAAAATGAAATTATATGTTTGGTGTTAGAAGTGAGTTTTGGGAGGAGAATCAAGATCCCCGTGTCCCCTCTTGATCTGCCCGCAGAATGTAAGCGGAAATTCCGCAGCGTCCGTAAATTCTTTTTCAAGAGGCATCGAAAACGTTCAAACCGCAGGTGCTTCAGAATTTTTTGCCAGGTGTGGTTTTTGGAGATGAATAATAATATTCATGACATTGCTGGGGTAAGCACATCGATCACGTCAACGATGATTCATCGCAATTCACTGCGAATAATCATTTCGGTAGGTAATGAAAACAAAATAGATCTGAGACCAACTTAGAAGAAACTGACTCCTGTCCAGTACCCTTTGATGAATCTACAGGGTTCTCCGAGCACTGTCCGTTCATTATTCTTTTTCTAGAGACTGACAAGCATAAGTCTCTCTATTGATTTCAAATAAGCCAATAATCGTTCAGTGTTCAAATGACGCTTTTCTACTAGAGAAAGGCAAATACTGTTCCATTAAGGTGAGACAAATTGTTTTGGAGTTTGGAGCTCAGGTGTCAATTTAATTCATTCATTGTTTTATCTTATTATACCTCACGTAACTCTGCTATACCGTTTGTTGATGTTATTATTACCTTTGGCAATATGAATGTATGAAATTGCGTGTTCTAGTTGACGTCTGTAAGCCTCTATGCCACACTGGTATTGCTTCTCTCCTCACGTTACCATTGACGTACCAAACCCTTTGAAACGTGGTGAAAATGCACTTGCGAGTACTCTCGCGTTTGGATCACGGGCAAACTGATCGTCCGGCGCCGAAAGATATAAATAGTGACGACTCTCGATAGAGCGTGGTTGGGCGGGCGGGCGAGCG